GAGCGTAATACTCTGCTTCGGCTGATGACTTCGTGATGCAGGATTGCTGCTTCGAAGCCCAAGAAATTGGACCGCCAGCGAGGTAGAATACCCATCCTGTACGGCTTCTCATGGTGTTAGGATCCGATGCAAATGACGCGTCCACGCACCCCTAGAACCCGTATCCGTCCTCAAAACCAGTATTACCACTCGTTTTCGGCCGTCCGTAGGTTATCGTAAGGTTGCTGGTTCGCTTAGCGTACTGGACGGCTTGGTAGACGGCGGAGAAGTGAGGATCGTGGGGTTTGAGGTTATGCTTCGTGAGCATCCCAAGCGCTAGGGAGAGATCAGGACGTGAGACCGTGCTGGCGTAAATTAGACTACCGGTGAGAGACTGGTAGGTCTTCACGTTTTCACGGTTTGCCGGTTCATCGGCTTTCCTAAGCTCGGTGCTAGGACTGAATGGGATGAAAGGTCTTGGAGAGGTTGCTGGGACGTCAGGAAACTTGTCAATATAGGCTTTTTGGCCTATTTTCATGATTCCGGCTTCACGGTCACGTTGGATCTTCAGGCTAAGGTAGTGAGAGACTTCACCTAGGTCTGAAATAGACCATTGCTTAGCGATCGCTTCCTTGACTCTCTGAAGCGTTGTTGGAGACGTCGATGCGAGCAACATATCATCTACGTAGACGAAGATGATGGTAATTCCACCCCCTTGCTCGTGGCGTACGTATAGACATGGATCAGAGGATGAGGCATTGAAGCCTTTGGAAAGGAGGAAGCTGCTAAGGGTCTTATACCAATTGGCTGCTGACTGGCGCAAGCCGTATAGACTCTTACGAAGGCGACAGACATTACCGTGAGGTTCGACGCCATGAAAGTCGAGACCGTCGGGGTATTGCATGTACGTTTCCTCTTCCAAAATCGCATTGAGATAGGCCAAATTGACGTCTAAATGCGTCGAATATAGCTTCTTCAATGTGATGACTGCAAGGAGTACTCGGAGGGTCTCGTAGCGGCCGGTGGCGGCGTACGCATCCTCATAATCAATGCCTTCTCTCTGGGTATTACCTCGGGCCACCCAACGTGCTTTGAACTTGGCAGGTCTGCCATTGGCATCGGTCTTGAGCTTATAGACCCATCTACCCGAGAGGATCTTGGCCCCTGGTGGTGGAGATGCTGGTTGCCATACTT